GTTTTGTACCAGTTGAAAGGGTAACAACACATTACTCTATTTTGCCACTGGTAAAGGAGATGTCTCATAGCATCCAGGCATAGTCGAGACTCAGCTCGGAGCGAGCGCTCAGAGATCCGGCGAGAATCGGGTGCATTCCCTGCGGTTTGGTCATCGGCTGTGAGGAAGTTGCATCCTGTCGTACCGACGCGCTGCCAAGCTCACTACACCAGACAAACTGAGGGCTTTGTACCCACGGGGCGCCTGACATTGACCAGGGCGCCTGCCTGGACAAGCCTCGCTGACATGGCCTGACAGCCAATATTAACCGATGTTATTCCTTCGCAAGCAAGCATCGGGCAAGGCTTGTCACGTGACTTTCGACCAACTCGCTTCGCCGTGATGCAGAGCGATGCTGCGAAGCGTATTGATTCGTTGAATGAATGGAAAAGCTGATAAGAAATGGCATTGCTAGTTTTTTTACTGAAGAATTCACCTTAACCTGCATCTATACGTGACGTCTTGCTTCGTGTGAACATTGAGGGATTGATGCTCATCTCCTGTTAACAGCCCTGAGCCAGTGGTAGAAATTCCTAAGTCCGATGGCAGGGGGTGAGTCTGTCCATAGAACAACCACTGTTGACTTCCCCACAATGTGGTACTGGTTTTATCGACCCAGGAAGGATGATGGGCGCCACTGTGGTGCGATGTTAATGACCTCACCGAGTATACAGGTGGTCGTGGGTTCGAGGTTATTGGGTTCGATCCCAACCCTGACACCTGTTGTATATTTGGAGTTTGCGTGTCTCCCTCCCCGTGACTGCGTGGATTTTTTTCCAGGGCCCAGCGGTTTTTACCTCCACATTTAGAATGAACGTCGCGTCGCGCCTTTAGAATATTATGTGCTGCCTGAAATTTCCACGCCATGATAAGCGAATTTGTTGAGCTATCATTTCGTGTGGCCAGGTCGCTTCTGAAAAAGAGTGAGACACCTCAGTGTACCTTACCATGATGAGATAAAAAACACATTCCTGCGGAGGGAGCTGGTAGGAACGTTGGGTTGCTCGGTCAATGGCCAGGGTCAACGGCGGCGTGGTGTATTCCGCAAATATGCCCGACTGTGAGGGCGGGCACAAGCCGGCGTGAGTAGGTTAAACGTTGAGTTTTATAAGGACACCACGGGGTGACCAGCCCCTCCCCACCCAGCCCCACCCCTCCCACCCCCCACCCAGCCCCACCCTCCCCACCCAGCCCCTCCCCACCCTCCCCACCCAGCCCCTCCCCACCCTCTCCACCCAGCCCCACCCTCCCCACCCAGCCCCTCCCCACCCTCCCCTCCCCACCCAGCCTCTCCCTCCCCACCAGCCCCTCCCTGCATGACGGACGGACACAATAATCCCCTGTGGGCTGGTGTAACTAGGAGGTTCCTACCAGTAAAAGTTTTAATCTTGACTTAAAGCGTTCGTGACTGCAGGAATTCATATTTATGGGTCTTTCGGTAAAGTCACGTAGAAAGGTTCAAAAAACATATCTACTTTAGGTTCAAAGAACCTATCTACGTGACTTTACCGAAAGACCCAAGAATAAAAAGATTTTCGTTTTTAATGGGTTGAGTCGACCCCAAACAGGCGTTGAACTCACGACCTTTCTGATCGCGAGCCTCTTGCTCTACCACTGAGCCGATTGCAACGTAAAACTCACGCGATAATCGTTTTTTCACGTTTTTCTAAACGTCTTCACGGTCGTATTCTCTTCAAAGTTGTATTTCCTGACAACACGTTTATGAAGTAACAACCTCAGTATTTGCAGTACTGTATAAGTTACGAGTAAATGAATATCAAATGTTTACTCAGTGTTTGCCAAATGGCGTTTTGGTACAATTGACAAGACAGTGCGGTGATTACATGATGTAATATTTTTTAGGAGCAAAACCCTCTTTGACTTAATGAGAATTCCGTGTGATTGACAGTGTGGGCATTGATTCGTTAATTTACTTTGTCGGTTAGGCCACGGTGGGATGCGGCCAAAGTTATGTCACAGCACCCGGGCGCAGCCAAACAAAGTTTAATTGTTACTTGTGTAGTGAGTTCAAGGAGACGTAGACGACGTAGTCAGAGACACACTTATTTATTTACACACTGGGGGAATAACACAGCTCTTGAAGGGGTAGCGGCCCCTTCACCCGTCTAACAGGGAGACAACCTTAGCGCTAGCCCGGCTAGTCTGCTCCCGGGTCCTCCACTAGAGAGTTAGGGGAGGCTAGCTGCTCTGGTCAAGCTCGGATCTCGGCACCCTTAGCCAATCAGACCGGCTCTTACAAGAGCATAGGCTCTGGGCTCTCAGGGCCACGCCACTGGCTTGCCCTGGTCGGTCCTTAGAAGGACAGCGAGCCAGGGGAGTCCCAGGGCCTATTCTGCTGGCCTTCGATCTTCGCTGGTTAAGCTCCGACACTCGACCCCGAGCCCCCCGGCTCCCCGCCTTATATAGCAACTCCCCCCCGAGGGGTGGGGCTGTGGGGGATCACAGCGCCACCACAGCCCCCCAAGGCTAACCGTTGCGGACGTGGATGTAGGCACCCTTACGCGTGCGGGCGCAACCACCCCTTGTGTGTTTGTTTGCCCACCCGTAACACCCCTACACTTGTACAGAATCAGAATCAGACTATTTTTGTTTCCGCCCCCCCCCCCCCCCAGCAAAGCCCGCTAAGCCGAGAAGCTAATTTCTCAGTGGCGTCTCTCGGCAGGCAGGCAACGTCAAAGTATTCCGCAGTTACAGATTTTAATTTTTTAAACAGACAAACTTAATGAGAGCAATTATATTCTGTTGGTCTTTCGATAAAGTCACGTAGATAGGTTACAAAACACTGTACAAAAAGCTACGACGTTTCGATTGCAACACAAGCAGTCGTCATCATGTACGTCTCTATCTCTATGTATCTCTGTGATATCTGTCTCTGCTTATATGTCTGTTTATATGTCTCTGGTTCTGTGTTTTATCTCTCTCTCAAATTTAGCATTCTCAGGAAGAACGTAATCAACCAGGTAGGGTGTTGACTGCTATGTTATCCGACTCTCTGTTGGATTACATTACATTTCTAAGTATACTAGATTTGTGTTTCTATTTCATTTATACCTGATGATGATTGCTTGTGTTGCAATCGAAACGTCGTATGCTAGTATTTAATTCCTGCAGTCACGAAAGCTCCAAATTAAGTGGGGGTTTGCCTCTCAAGGCAAACTGTTTATAAACAGTTTATAAACAGAAAGACCCAAATAATATGAATTCCTGCAGTCACGAAAGCTTTAAGTCGAGAGCAATTATGTTGTAAAATTACATGATTTAGCGTGACACCCAAATATGTAACGCCTTACAACTTGAAATCAGCCAGAGTCGGTAGATAGATTCAAGTCTGCTTTGAAACCCATCTCTTTAAAGTGGCTTTAATTTTGGGATCCTATGATGGAATGCGCATTATACATTTGAATGATTATTCTAAGAGAGTCTGTTTACATGAGAACAGAGATGGCAGAATGGAGATGCCAAGAGACGAAGCTAGGGTGGTTCCAAACACTTTGGGGCAGCTTCGTGAACTACTTTTGATCCAAATTGTGCGTGAAATATGGGAATGATCAATAGACAAGCGTTTTAACGCAACGATTACACTGGCCAACACACTTTTTCTGGCATAAGGTATTCCAACGGTTTTAAAGTAATGTTGGGGTGCTGATTCCAAATCTGGCATCAGTTTTTGTCTATCACATCAGGTTTTTGAGATATCAAATATTGCATTTTCAATAAAATTGCAGAAGAAAATATTAAATAAATGTGGATATCTACATAAAATGATATTTTAAACACACTATCTTAAAATACAGCACCATATTTTAACACTAAAACAGTCACTGACTCGCAACAACTTGCAATCATAAGTGACAGAGTTAATTTCGGATAAAATCAATGAAAATGGGGTATGCCGATAGCATAAAAATGAGATGTGATAGAGCAAATCTGAGATCAGATTTGGAATCAGCACCCTGAAATTAGTCTAAAACAGCTGCAAAAGTCCAGGCCAGAAAATTTTTTTTGTTGTTGACCAGTGCTATTCTTATTTCAGCTCAACAACAGGTTGAAGAATAATTCTTGCCACCAAATGTAGCAGTGAGCTGCGGCATTTTGCTGCAAACTGCGCCAAACATCTTCAGAACATACAAATCAGGACAGGAAGTCGGGACGACACTGGCATGACACTGACTTCCCAACTTCTGTCTTGAAGGTGGCACTGCTAAAATTAATACCTCTTTCTGACAAGTCTTGAGTGCTGTAAAGGAAGGTTCTGGCCATAGGAATGTGGAATTTCCACCGCCTGTTCGGGACCACCCAAACACGCCGAGAACGCATTGACTCCTGCTTTCGCAACGGCCCACGACTGAGCCACATCAGTCGCGGATAGAAACCGCGCAACGGTTCCGGTTTGCGAATTCAGTTGCACGCAACCCGCTTGCGCAACCGGTTGCTCAGGCGTGGCGTAACGCCGAGATGAGCACGGTTGGCTACGTACGGTGCGAAACGGCCCAGGCCATCGGAATGTGGAATTTTCTCCGCTTGTTCGGGACCACCCAACGCATCGAGAACGCATTGACTCCTGCCTTTGCTATGATCCACCACTGAGCCTTGGCTCCTCCCACCTTCAACCAGTATCTATATACAAGGACTGTTTTCTTGGAATTTCTCTTACTTGATACAGCTATCGTGCTGTGACGGTTCCACCTGAAGACGGAAGCTTGTGTTGCCTCCGAAACGTCGTGATTATTATTTTATTTTTATTTTACTTTTATTCATTTTAATTTTTTACGTACGTGACTTTACCGAAAAAGAATATGAATCCTTGCAGTCACGAAAGCTTCAAATCTAGAATCGATGTTTCCAAGTTGCGACCCGCTTGCGCAACCGGTTTCTCCGGCGAGGCGTAACGCCGACCCCTCCACTTCTCCCTCTTTGTCTCTCTCTCTCTCGCCGTGCAGGACTTCGTGTCGGAGATGCTCGCCGTCGGCGGCTGCCCTCGCGACCGCCTCCCGTGGCCTCACCAGGAGGCCCGACTCGATTACCTGCCTCGTGGGGGCTACCACGGCCTGCACGCGATGCCCCCATCATGTCCTGCCCACCGGCCACGCTGCCCCTCTGCGCCCGCGCCCTGCCACCTCGCGCCCCCCTCCTACGCGCTGCCCGCTGGGATGTCGTCCGTCGCTCAGTCGAGAGCCGGGGTCATACGCATGGTGGGGCGAAGAGTCAAGGACGAAATGGTGAGTGGGTGGGTGTGCGCGTGCACGTGCGTGCGTGTGTCTTGTCAGTAACACACACGGTGGTGTCGTGGGGGGCATATTGGGAGAGAGGGGGGGAGTATCCTCCCCCCCCCTCCCCCAATGTAACCACCACTGAATATGTATATATACTATGTTAAGAATGTACTGAACTTCTTTAAATCTGCTTTTTGTGTTTCATTTGTTGTCCTTCCCCCGCAACCTCCGACTAGCACGTTTGGCAACATACGGTGTGAAAGAAGTTCAACACACACACACTTTATGTTTAGTTTGTTATCCATTCCCCCCCCCGCACCTCCAATTGGCACGGTTCCATACTACGGCGCAAAAGAAGTTCCACATACATACGTACAGCTTTGACGTGTTAAACAAAGACGACCGGTGTCCTATCCACTCGGCTACAGCTCCTCCACACCAGAGCAGCTGCGTTTTTCCTCCTTAATATCTGACGTGTGGTCTGAACTAGGGCTGAACGATTAATCGATTTCAAATCGAAATCGCAATTTGAAACAATGCTATTAGCAAATCGCAAAGGCTGCGATTTTGAGCGATTTTTTTTACTTAGCAATTGTTCTATGTTTGATTGCTGTATTTCAGTTAAAAAAAATAATAAATACATGTTGGACCCATATCTAACAGAGAGGGCCCTTGCCAATAAACACCTGGCAGTTCACCGGTATCAGTTTAAGGGAGGCTGGCTCTGCTGATGAGTGTCGAAACTGGTCCAGAGTTCGATTGTGTATGAAGCCAACGCTGCTGAAAAGTTCACTCCTCGAAAACCGCGTCGTGGCCAATGCGGCGTGTAAAAAGATAGATTTTTTTAAATCTAAAAAATAATACTGAATCCCTTGAAGCGGCATTAACATTCTTATTAGGCGTATAACTCTTCTTCGATTAAAATTGGTTATCCTAACGGGTCAGTTATCTGGTTGAACAAGACACACATTATTAATTCGTGAGCACTGTCCATGACAGGGGCCAGATTTCCACAGGGCAACTGCTCTATTACATTTTCGCACACGAGGTACTCAATTTATTAACCACAGATTCCTGATGGGCTGAGTCATCGCCTTGCGAGGATTTGAACTCGCAACGCTCATACTGTGGGCATCCGCGTTCTGACCACAATGCCACTCGCCAGGATTTTTATGAAAGTACTGGATTCTCGTCTTAGTACTGTCACAGGAATCCTTAATAACCGCAGGTGTTTTTAGTTACTGAAGCATCTTTCCGAGAAGAACCACGCAGCAGGCGGTTAAACAAGAGGCAATAAATTGTAGTAGTAGCAATAATAATAAGAAATCTAAATGAATGGGTGTGGACAAAAAAGCCTCGCCCAATTTAAGGAATTTCTGGAAGAGCAGCAAGCCACGCTGGGGGCGAAGGGGTGGGAGTTGATGAGGTAGGCCAAGGCTTCCCTGGGGGGGGGGGGGGTGTTGACCGGTTTTATTGAGGGGGGCTAGATTTGGCAACCGTTGATGGTCCAGAGGACCCAGTGAAAAATCCACAGGGGTCAGGGTAGGGATCCAAGCCACGACCTCCTCCATGAATGCACGTGTGCATTATGAACTTCTTTCGCACCAGACGAGACAGTTAACATCTCGCCATCTCGGCGCTCCAGAAGAGCTTCATAGCTCATCGGATTCCTCCGGACTTAAATAAAGATTCAGATTTTGTCTTGATTTGAAGCTTTCGTGACTGCAGATATCCATACTCTTTGTTTCTTTCGGTAAAGTCACGTGGGTAGAAAAATAATAGATCACGACGTTTCGGTCGCAACACAAGCGATCGTCTGCAGCAGTTTTTCTCTTGCCGTGGTTGTCCCACATGATGATGATTGCTTGTGTTGCGATCAAAACGTCGTGATCTAATTATTTTTCTACCTACGTGACTTTACCGACAGAACCAAAGAGTATTCAGAGTCTTATTTTACTTTTATGAATTTTAATTTAATTTTTTTACCTACGTGACTTTACCGAAAAAACCTAAGAATATGAATCCTTGCAGTCACGAAAGCTTCAAATCTAGAATTCAGAGTCTGATTCAATTTCCGCCACGCCCTCTCTGTTAGCCTGCCCAGTCCAGCTGCCCTCCCCTCCTCCTCCACCGACCCATCCTCTGGATCCTGGTGCGGTTGAACCGCTTTGCACGCTTCTCAATGGCTCCCCCCAACTGCCCCGTGAGCAAGCCCTCTCTCGGCGAGCCGTCTCTGTGACTCACCTCCGTGTTGATTTACCGCTTCCTCTCAAGCCTCAGACTATCTAGCCCGGCGACCGGCTAAGCACATGCGCGTGTGTGTGTGCAGGTTTTGGTTACTGAGCACCTTTGAAGCGTAACTAAACCTCTGCCCCCCCCCCCTCCACCGTCCACTCTCCTCCCCTGAAGATCAACTTACAAGATAGCATGACCACTTCCCTGTCGGTCCACGTTCATTGATTTCTATTTTGTATTGACGTGAAAATAAAAGTCTCACCGCTCTCTTTTGTAATCGTAATAATTTACTTACTAATCCAGGAAAGCCACAGTGGACTCTTTAGTTTTTTTGTTTCAGTAGGGTCCTGCCTGCATTGGGGTTTTTATTTGAAGACGTTTTCGGCCAATTAGTGAGTGTTTTATTATATTATTGAAATTATTAATCACAATTTAAATTATTATATATTATTTAAATTTTTACTTTAACAAAAATTTCTACGGGACTTTACCGAAATAACCAAGAACATGAATTCCTGCGGTCACCAAAGTTTTAAGTCAAACTGTTTTATTATACGTGTGGGAGAAAAAACCCGGAGCACTGCCGAGAAAAACCAGAGGGAGGCAACGCTCTATCCCCCCCTCCCCTACGCCGTTGTAAAGAGATGGCGATCGGTACACCGTGCCATTCCGCCTTCTCCTGGCGAGACGTGGGGGTATGGCGACTTCCCAGAAAGTCGACGGGCAAAGGGGGAGCTTCACAACAGTTCGCGCGGTGATCCAGCAACCCTCGCTGCCTCCGCAGTGCTGGATTACGGGCAGCCACTTGCATAGCCACCGGGGCGTTCGTGCCGGCAAGCGACGGTGGCTATGCTGGACATCTGTGGCACGGCCCATGAATTGGTATCGACATCTGTTCTGGGCCTCCACCAGGTTCAACTCGGGATGAAATCATTACTCCCACGTGTCTGTCCGTCAGCATAGCGCTCGGAAGACAAAGGGGAAGCCGAGCATGGTGTGCCCATTGCGCTTCTAATATGACTGTCGTGCAAGCCGTAATATTTGCTCGTTTGCAGGCACTTTTCACAGATAATTGCAAAGGGTAACCGGGACGAAAAGAAAATAATCATCACAATGGCTACGTTTAGCGGTGGTGGACGAGTGCAAATTAAAAAAAATACTTGCGACATTTACAATTAACACTGCCGGATAACGGAAGGCAGTGTTAATGACAAATGAGGGCCGATGCACAACATTAATATCATTATAGTGTATGTTTCTGTTATAAAGCAGTACTAATGACGAATGTGACAAATGCGGCGAGTTTTTTATTTTGGTTTTTACGTGTAAATGAGATATATTTATGGCAGCAGGGTGGCTTCGATGTCAGTGTTGAGCAAGTGCCACTGAAATTCTGTGTTCGAATATTGCCGGCTCCCAATCGCTTAACCAAGTTAAACACAAGCGTAGCAGATTGAGGGCCTTAGCCTGGTCACCGATGACTGTTATTACAAATTGAGTTTGGGTTTTTCCACTTATTGGTGGCGAAAATTCCAGTTCTGTTCATTCTATGAAAAATATACAAATATTGGTGTGACTCTCCACACGTTGAACATTTAGAATCAGCACTTTCTCTGTAGCTAGCTGGGGCTGCTGGCAAAGTTGCCCCCTGAGTGTTGTGGAGAGAGGGACTCTCACTTGTGTAGACCTCAGAAGCGGTTCAATCAGCCCACTGATAGATATCTCACTGATAAACAGCCCCCTGATATATAGCACCGCAGTGGCGAGATGTTAAATCTCTCGCCTGGTGTGCAGGAGGTTGTGGGTTCGATCCTGATCCTGACCCTGTCGATGCCTGCTGTATATTTGGAGTTTGCGTGTCTCTCTTCCCATGGTCGCGTGGATTTTTCTCCTGTAGAAAAGAACTAATAAAATAATGCAAATGAAACAATACAATTCTCACGACGTTTCGATTGCAACACAAGCAATCATCATCAGGTGTGAAATACCACAGCGTCATCAGGTGTGATAACCACAGCAATAACTTTTTTCAAATTTTATTGCTGTGGTTTTCACACCTGATGGTGATTGCTTGTGTTGCAATCGAAACGTCGTGAGAATTTTATTGTTTTATTTGCATTATTTTATTATTTCCCTTCTACGTGACTTTACCGAAAGAACCACGAATATAAATCCCTGCAGTCACGAAAGCTTTAAATCGAAATGAAACAAACTTCCTGTTTAGCACGTGCGCTTTCACGATCAGAATCATCCATAATACAGGTTCTCTGGGTTAGGTCGCGTAAATTTACGCGATTCTAACCCAAAAAAAAGACTTCCCGTGTGTACATGACGCATCTCGCAACACGCAGTTCGCAATACGCCCAGGAAATTACACCACGAGCTGTAAAGATGACATTTAAGAACATGTGACAGCATTTGCAGGAATTTGACATGGTGCGTTTGGATCGAGCCATAACCAACATTTCAAACTTCTAATATATAATGTATAAAAATTACTCTTAAGTAAATACCCAATTTTCATGTTAGCGTCTCAATGTGCCATCATCTGAGTGAGTAAATTACTGTAATTATCACTGTTTCCTTATGCTCTGGATTACATGTTTACCTAGATGTTTAAACTAAAGTTGACGATGTGTGTTTATCACCTAAAGAACACGCGGGTTGGAGTCTTGTTAGTTTACCACTGTAGGATTTCGCGACTAGTATCATTCATAATAAAGGCTTCATTATGGAGTCTGGTTGTTCTTCAGTGCAATCCTCCGTGAAATGCTTCTCCATAGCAATACATTTCCACTTTCCGACCTAGCAGACAGAACACAACCAGCGGTGCATAGATAATCTTCCACGAGAAATCATCTCTCCCAATTTTAAAACCGTGTGCATGATTCAATATCTCCTGCAAAATGTCTCGCCAAAGCCACACGTTATTCTCCAGAGTACCCAAAAAAACACGTTTGGTTATTTTATTTTCTCCAAATGACTCCAAACTTTGGGATGCATCCTCCTATAAAACTGTGGAAATTCGCCAAGAGTAATGCACGGAGTGTACAGTGCAGTAAATGCGTTGGATATTTTGTCTGGGCACGTGCCATCTTACCGCATGTAACACAATAGAGGTGTCTGTGACTCAGAGGGCAGCGCCTTTATGCCGACCTCAGCTATCCACACCTACGCTGCTGACACGACAATAACACTGGCGATTTGCACGGGAAACCTGAAGTCGCTTTCTCCCCCCCTCCTTCGACGTCGCTTTCGAGTACGCAGGCTGCGCAACTGCAACCAGGGCCGGATTTAACGAAGGGGCTCTCGGGACCTCGGATTTTGAGAGGTTCCCAAAAATATATGGAGTTGCGCGTTACAATAGTTCGGGCCGCAATACTGCGGGCGCTGTGTTACGTCCCATAGGTAATTTGGCGTGTCGCAGATTTCTATGTGTACACTTTCCTCTGGCGGAGGCAAGTCCACCTGTAGGACGACCTCTGTTGACTCCTCCCGCAACGTGGTAATCATTTTATCGACCACGGAGGGATGATGGGCTGAGGCAACCGCCCACCGGGATTTGAACTCGCTGCCTTTGCGATTCGCGAACCGCTCTCCTCGGCAGACTTAAAATGCCTTCTTGCAGGCCAGATGCCGAGTTACCGCGTGTGCCACTCGATGGGGGTGGGGGTGGGCAGGGTAGTGCCCTTTCAAACATTTCTTCAGATGAGATGCGATTGAATGCGCTTGGAGAGACGCCCCGGTGAGGCGCGGGGCGTCTCTATCGAAAACAAATCGTCACCATCGTTGAGCGAAGGGGTGCGAGTGAGCGTCGATCGATTCATTCATTCGCTCACCACCCCCCTCCCCCCCCCCCCCCTCCGTGTGTGTGTGTCGGTGTTTGTGGCAGCTGAGCCCGGAGGAGATGGACAGACGGCGGCAGAGGAGGGAGCGCAACAAGGTGGCGGCCGCGCGATGCCGGAACCGACGGCGCGAACTCACCGACAGGCTACAGGCGGTAAGCCCACGTAGCCTGCACGCGCCGTTAGGGGCCGTCCATAAATGACGTCACGCACCTATGGGGGGGGTGGTTAGACAATTGTGACAATGTGTGACGATGGGGGGGGGGGAGGGTTTGAGAAATGTGACGTCACATCAAAATGCCCAACTTTAAATAAATATAGACAACACGTTCTACTTAATTAAATAGACTTTTTAATGAATGTTTTCTTCTACAACACCAGAGTGCATGCGCCACATTAAATACGCACTACAATGACAATAGTTTAAAGCGATTTGAAGCATTTTTTTGGGGGGGGGCAGAGTTTAGTGACGTCATAATTGAGGGGGGGGGGTCTGTCTTTTCGTGACGTCGTGTGACGACGGGGGGGGGGGGGTCAAAAATCGTCCAAAATCAGCGTGACGTCATTTATTGCTAGCCCCTTAGTGCAAGCGCTGTTCGCGAACGCCTACGGAGTGCCCGGCACGGCTCGTGACCTTCCCGCCTTCGGCTCCCCCAGCGCCGACGTTTGCGCGCCGATTCGACGCAGGGGATGGCCCACGAAGGGGTTCAGATATTCCCCGCTGAGGTTGGCCTGTGTGAGCGTGAATCGAACTCGGGATTTTGCTAATAACCCCCGCTCTCAATCGCCCGTGTGCGCGCACACGCACGCGCAGCAACGGCTTTGATTTGGCATGGAGAGGCAGTGGGGTCGGGGTGAGCGGTCAAGGCAGGTCACGGGAAAGATCTAATTGCTGAAAAAAACCGGGGATGACACGCCAATGACGCCACGTGCATGCACGGACGCACACACGAACGTGATTGCGGCATTTCCACCAACGGCTTAGCAGGGAGGGCAGCCGACGTGTGATGAGACGCCGGGAGACACCGGGCGTATCGTTCTGAAAACCCAAAAAGTCTATACATTTGCAGGAGACGGACAAACTGGAGGACGAGAGGTCGGAGCTGCAGATAAAGATCGCGGAGCTGAGGAAGGAGAAGGAGCGACTGCAGTTCGTGCTCGACGCTCACGAGCACACGTGCAAGGTGTCCCCCGAGCGACCGCCGTCCCAGGCGAAACCCCACGACGCCGGACGGGGGCCTGGCCACATCAACCTCAGGAGCGACCGCGGCGACGGCAGCGACGACGGCGACGGCGGCAGGGAACGCGTTGCCGGAATCTCCGTCGCTGACATCCACCACCACCACCACCAGCTCGGCATCGGAGTCGACAGCTTCGACGGCAAAAGTAAAGCGGCAGGCGAAGTGGCGCAGTGTTCGCGCGCTCCGCCGAGAGCGCTCGTTCGGCCCGCGCCGGGCTTGCGGACTCAAGCGGGCGGGTACGGCACCGGCAGCACCGGCAGCAGCAGCAGCAGCTTACGAGCTCACGCGGGACCGAAGGCCGCACGCGGCCGCCCGCGGCCGGTCCCCATGATCGCCATCTCGGCGGGAGACGCGGTCGAGTTGGAGGAGCCGCTGAACACGCCCCTCGTGAGCACCACGCCGTCGCTCCTGGCGGGCGTCGGCACCGGGCCGCCGGCCAGCGTGTTCACCTACCCGGCCGCGGGCGCGGGCGCCCCGGGGGGGTTCCCGGCCACGCGCCCGTACTCCGCGGGGGCCTCGGCGGACGGGGGCTGCGCGTCGGGAGAGGGCGCCACGTGCGCCACCGCCCACCGCCGCAGCAGCAGCGGCGGCGAGCAGTCGTCCTCCGAGTCGCTCAGCTCTCCCACGCTGCTCGCGCTTTAGGCACGAACTCACCACCTCCCGCTTGTGCTCTGCGGTCAGGGCGGCTGGAGTTCGGCGGGGAGGGGATGGGGGAGTCGGAGGGGGGGAGGCGCGGGCGGAAAAGGGGCAGTCTGCCCCTCGCACGAAAGAAGGGCCACCGACGACGAGTGAGTTTTTTGTCGCCGATGGATTAGGAGGCTCCGAAAGGCGAGATCCGCCAGGGGCCTCCAGCCTCGGGCCTCCGGGAACCTCTGGGCAGCCCTGCTTGGGCTGGCTGGGCCTGTGGCTCAGCTGCGCCGGGTGGCCTCCGCGTTTGGCTGTGATCGTCTGCGTGCAAGCGCTTGACCCGCGGCGTTTTTTGGTGGATGTTGCGTGCGGACGCCCTTCGTGGTGCACTGCACAAATAACAAGGAAAGCTCCCAAGCATGTGCCCTTCGTACTGGCAGCAGCAAAAAATAATAAAGCCGCGGTGGTTTGGCCACGACGCAAACGACATCACGGACCGGCAAACGCCAACAGTGGGGGGCACGTTTCCTGAAGCCACCCGCCTCTGTCCCACCCAGCGTTATTAATGGGTGGACCACGGTTAGTCCATCTGCAAGTTGCGTGCGGCGGTGGTGGGGTAAAGTGTGGCAACTCTCACATCTGCGAAGACGTCTGGCCGGCGTGGACGAGTAGGCCAAGTACCCTGTTACGAGCGGCCTTCTCAGCAGCATTATTCCGGGGGTGGCGTGAGCCAGGAATTACAGGGCCGCGCCTTTATCTTTTATAGCCATAAATAATATAAATACTGCGCGTATCCGTTGCCGACTAAAGTTCATTGCATCGCTGTAAACTGCTGACAGCAGAGTAACATCGCCTGCGAAAATGTTGTCAGTGAACCACCGAGGATATTCAAGTCATTGTCGGTCACCCTCGTAAAGAGATCAGCGAGGTTGTGATTGGCTAGACGGGAAGCGCCATATACCATCTTCCAATTAAGCCTGATTATCGTCAGCCGTGACCTATCCACTGCTGGATGATGGCCTGTCACAACGCGTCGCTATCTCGCGTGGCTTTGCGATGCAACATTGCGTCGAGATGCTGTACTTGGACCCATGTCGAGCGGAGAGGATCGTTACCTCTAAACATCCGGGAGTTCACCAGCAATGGTTCAAGCAAGGCTGACTGCTGCTGATGAGACACTGAAAGTCAAAACCAACGCAGAGTTTGCTTTGTTGAATGGAGGCTGCTGAAGTTAAGCACACCGAGAAGGCTGTGTGGCTGATGAAATATGTAAAAAATACTTTTTTTTTAATTTGGAGACACAGAGGTGGGAAGGGGGTCGCATTTTTGCCCGTACTTATCCGGCACATGAGCTGATCATCAATTATCCTTCTCCCGAGGTGAATGTCCTCCATAAGGCAGTTCCGAAACGTCTCTTCAGCACGAGTTGCGCGCCCGCTAACAATTTACATTTCATACTCTTTGGTTCTTTCGGTAAAGTCACGTGGGTATAAAATAAAATGAATCACGACGTTTCGATTGCAATACAAGCAGTCGTCCTCAGGCAGAAAGAAAAATCCAGCAGTGGATCTGCTCGTTAATTGTCAGCAGTTCCACTGATGGATTAATTTGTTTTTGTTTTTCCGCCTGAGGACGACCGCTTGTGTTGCGATCGAAACGTCGTGATTTATTTTATTTTATACCCACGTGACTTTACCGAAAGAACCAAAGAGTATGAATTCCTGCAGTCACGAAAGCTTCAAATCAAGATTGAATTTACACTCTTAGGTTTTTTCGGTAAAGTCACGTAGGTAAAAAATTATAAAATTAATAATAATAAATGAAAATAAATCAATTAAATCACAATTAAAGATTTAATTTACATTTCGCGGAAAATGTCCAAACTCCGCCGCTTGAAGAGAACACCTGCTTTCCTCGTCGTGGTCATTCCTTCGGCGCAACATCCATCGTTGTACTCCACTTGTGCGTGCCCAAAGCCTTCGCCAAACAAACACTGGACCAGCGTGGTGAAATAATCGGCAAAGCCCCCCTCAACGCCCCCCCCCCCCCCGCTACCCGCAACGGCATAGAGATGCTCTCATCCAGCAGTGGATCGACCAAAGGGACTCTGTACACGTTCCACCGTCAGAGTGCAGTAATTTTGTTCCCAACTCGCCTCTCATCCTTGACATTACTTGATGCTGACCACGTGACGGAAAGCGTTCGCCAGTTACTTGTGGGCGATTCCCTGACGCCGCAAACAATGCAAAAAAATATTACAATGTTATAATTGTGATGGTAATAATATGTTGATTGCGACGTACTTCAGTGTTTTATTTTACCGCTTAGAGAAATGTTCGTTTTGGCTACTGATTACCGCAAAAAATTGCTGTGCTCGTTAATTGTCCAAGGCAGCGTTTTGTTTTTTTAATGTGGGGTCCATGGGTCGGAGCAGAAATGAGTACCAAGCTACGGTAGCAAAACTTTAGTGGAACGGGATTATTTCTAACCCATAATAAGCGTAAATTGTTTGATAACCAACACTCATTTCAAATTGCTGTCACGTTATTCAATGCTCGGGGCCACAAATAAATAGGTTACCGGTTGGTGGTGGTGGCTTCGCCCGTGGCCTGTCATCCAGCGCTGTGGTGGCAGCCAAGGTTGGTGGATCACCGCACAAACGACGACAAGTCGCGAGGCTTCCTTCCCCGTGGGCATCGGCGACGAGGTGCCAAACCCTGGCTCTGCCGGCGGAATGCAGTGCAGCAAAGTGTGGACGGATATCATCTGTCCCTGCCGTGCGGGGATAGAGTGTTGCCCCCTCGCATGCGTGGGTTGTCTCCGGGTGCTCCGGTTTCCTCCCGCGTGCATAATAAACACTCACCGATTGGCTGAAAGCATCTTAATATATAGAGAACTGCAGAGCAGTTTTTGGCGCCGGCTCACTGCCTGGCAGCCTTCCGGCACATGTTTGTGGTTCCTACTCTGCGATTGTGAGATGCAGACAAGTGAAATATCTGCTTTGGGCTCACGGACTATATTAGCATCGAAGAGAGTTTTGGATTTCTCTGCGTGTCACACATCGTACGCTTCATGGGCAACGTCGGTTACAAAACGCGATGAGGCTGCGGTTTGAAATGCACTTGTGTTGTCGTATTGTTTTCAAAGTCGCTTTTGTTTCAGAATGGCAAGTCTCTTTTAACTACTTTCTGCTTCTCAATGCCAATCCAGGCATCGATCGTCGTGGTTTTAAGCGTTCAACGTGATTTCATTTCAGTTTTCGCCGTCGTTGTTTGGCGGTTGTGACTTTTGTCCCGTTGTTGTTGTTTATATTTTAAATGTCGCTTTCAGTCGAGCTACATTTACACGATATTTTCTAATTTACTCAAACCTGTTGCACTATAACCAGATATGGAAAGCAATAAAAGTGCATATGTCTCGTATAGAGCACGTGGTGTTCAGATACATAATAGTGTCTTATTAAAAATAATTTATTTTACCAGATAAAGCCCACTGAGCTATACAGCTTATTTTAAGTAACGACCTGGCCACAAATGATATCTCAATGAAGTGGCTTATCACGTGGAAATTTTGTAGCAGCCAAATACTCTAAACGCGTGTTCATTCTAAATGTGGAGGGGAAAACTGGAGAACCCGAAGAGAAAAATCCACGCGACCACGGACAGAGACACATGCAAACTCCAAATATACAGTAGCAGGCGTCAGGGTCGGGATCGAACCCACAACCTCCGGTATACCAGGTGAGGTAGTTAACATCTCGCCACCACGGCGAGCGGTTTGCATGGAGGTTTGCGCACTGCACAATGAACCTGGCTACTGGCTCATGGTGACTGGGTCAAAGCGACCATCAGCCTTGCAATTGGATCAAAACCAGAATCTTTATTTAGACTGCAAGCGGAGAAATCCGATGACCTATGAAGTTCTTTTTTCACAGATGTGCCAGTAGGGCCACGAGGTCATAAAGAGTCGGTGTGGGTCAGCCCGGTGCCTGGGCCCTTTCAGTCTGTGGGCCACAGTGCAGTTACACCGCCTGCACACTCGATAGCTACACCGCTGCCCACGGGCATTAAGGGGAGAGAATGACCCCACACTAAGATTGAGTGGTGGGTTTCTGGCTACCAGAATTTGATTGTGGTTCCACGGCTCACATCAGTGGCAAGTGATATCTGAACATCCCCTTTCACCAACACGTGATGAAGTAGTGCACAACCAAACAGACTGCATAACCGGTATACAGCGTGGGGAGGCCTTTGTCCCGCAGTGGACTCACAAATAACTGCAACTTATTCAACTGCACGCCTAAGGTTGTCGCAGCCAATATTATCATTCACAATGAATTTTCGAGTTGGGGGTCTCAGAACGGAAATCATTCGTGGTGACAATTTGAACAGTCCCCCATTGAAAACACCGACCCTGATATGCCAGCAGGATTTGGTCATTCAGCATCTTTAAATATTTACTATTCCGCAGACTCGCCCTTCGCGTAAAATGGCGCCTTTGGGAGGAACAAGGAATTTAGTGTCCCTTGAAAGTAATTCTCTCTTAGTAACCCTCCCATTTGGTATCTGTCATGTGGCACGTTTACAGATTGCACGGCACGCTTCTTTGTGAAGCATCCGTTAAGCCGGGCAAACACATACAGTATCCTGTGCTCATAAATCATCGGCGCCCCTCACAGCTTTACAACCTGGGGCAAGCAGCTCCGACCACCCACCCCTAAAGTCTGCACAGAAGCTTTAGAGCAAATGCCTCTTCTCCCGCTCAACGTTTGATTCGTTCGCGCGGAAGTTCGAAAGGTGCAGTTTACGGTGCCCGTTTAAATGCTGCGTCGAATAACATTCAAGACGTGGTCTCCTTTACTCAGTGGAAACGGCTCGTCCCTTAGCCCTCTGTGCTGTTGGCTCCCCGCAACTGGTTGTAGGCCAAGGGCCCTTCTTAATTCCTCTGGCGATGGTCGACTGTAAAACGAACAAACACTGCCCCCCCCCTCTCGTTCCGTACAGCGTATTCGAAAAGGGGTCGCAATTTGGACGCCGTAAGACTCCAAGCTTTT